TCTGTGTGTGTGTGTGTGTGTGTGTGTGTGTGTACACAAATGCTGAAAACATGAGCCTTTGTGTAGGGGTCAAACAGAAGACAGGAGCCAATATTCCCAGAAACGGAGTGGTCAGATTTCCTTAAAAAATGTGCAGAGATTGTGTTTCTGGAGTTGAGGGCTCAAGTTAAAAGCAAACAAAATACCACAAAATATATAACAATTTGTTTTTTTGGAGGATTTGCGATTCTGAATTTGGATCCAGTTCTCTTAAATACACATTGAACCTCTCATAGGACATGACTCTTCAAGTTGAAATGTATTAATAGAAACCTCATTTAGAGCTGTTCAAAGAATTGGATTGATCAGTGCTTTGCTTGTTACTTCTGACTTAACTCTGCAGGTGTGACTTGGCAATCAACAGAGATCCAAAGTAGAAAGACAGTTTCATGAAAAGAACCTGCCCTCTCCAACTGGTTGAAAAAAATTCGTGGGAATAAAGACTGGTTTATGCTGATGGATGTTTTTAGCGATGTCTTTTTTTGTACCTTGGACATAGTTATTATGCCTAGGGGAAGATAGTCCCATGAAGCTGGGATGCCATGAGCGACCCGCTTGCTGGGCCCAGGTTGATCCTGGGCCTGCTCTGGGTTGCTGAATGCGATCCTCCCAAGCGCGGCTGGAGATGCTGTTATTTTCCCGGGGCAGTGTGAGTTCTAGCTAGGAGAGAAATTAATGATTAGAGAGCAAATGTGGATCGTTTGTCTGTGTCCCCGGTTCTAAGCATTCAGAGTATGGTTGGGTGTACCAGGAAAGGCTCCTTGGAAAGGCGATTATGTGAGTTGCTTGGATGCTAGGCAGCCTCGTCTGTCTGCTAGAAAGTGGGAGCTGATGGGAGCAGGAGAGGGATGGGGACACTCCAGGGACCAGGCGAGTCTGCCAGGAGCTTAGCCAGGGTGTGTGTGTTAGGGTAGGGCTGAGTGGGGAAGTGTATATGTGCCAGATGGCTTTTATCTACGTGCCTTTAAAAAACACTATACTTTTTCCTCTTGAGGATTTTAGAAGCCAGTGCCGAGGACTGGGGAAGCTTGGTCATGAGGCTACTTATTTTAGTAATGGCCTAAGTTTCTTTCCTTCTGTTTTTCTTTCCTTCTTTTTTTTTTTTTTTCTTCATAGAAATCTTAATTCCAGTTTCTTTCTTCATTCCCTCATTGTTTTCCCTTTAATCAAACTTTTGGTTGCTATTTTGAAGGAGGCATTGGGAACAGCGACAAAAGCAAGGCCCAGCCCCTCCTATGAACACAAGCATAGCTTAGTAGGAGACACAGACCTCTGTGGGCATGTGTGGAGCCGGAGCCGTGCCTCATGGACCACACAGAAGGGCCAGCGCAGGCTTCCTGAGACTCAGCTGAATCTTGAAAGACGAGTTCTATTTAGCTGTATCAAAAAAAGCACAACTCCTCCAGAAGACACCATCCACACAGCCAGCCTGTCCGCCCCACCCGAGAGGCTGCAGGGAATAATTGGAGTAGTGCTGCCAAAGAAGTTTGTAGATCCTTCCCCTGCTGGAAAAAAGAGAAGACAACCGTTTTTTTTTAAATAAAAACATTTGCCAGAGATCATGGGTTTTGGCAGGTTATGTTTTATAGGGTACAGCCTTTTAGTGTAAAATGAAGAACATGTCGAGTTCAGGTGCGTTTGTATAATTGAAGCACATTTTCGTTGATTTAACACTATTAAATAGAATCGTGGGAAGAGTTCAGGTTTCCGTAGTGCCTGTTAGGGGAGAGATGCTGGGCTGGATACTTCACATTTGTTTTAACGTTTAGTTTTCACAGTGAGCCCCTGAGGTATTATTCTGTGCGCGTTATTGAGGAAGGAAGCAAAGCTCTGAGAATAAATTGCTCAGCTTCACATAAACAGCAAGTGGTCCACCTGGGGTTTGAACCCAGGTGGGTTTGACGCAGAAGCTTAGGAGTTTTCCATTGTATGAACCTGCCTTCCCTAGGGAAAAGAAAAAGTCTTGTTCTCAAATCAAATAAAAATTTGCCTTGTCATTTGGAGACCTAATAATCACCTTAGGGTAGATGAGGGAGTAAAGCCCAAAAAAGCAGTCAGCATGAAAGCGAGAGAAACAAGAGAGATCCGACACACAGATCACCGCACTGAGGCTCAGGCTTGCTCAGTGCTTCACACCTCGGCATTAGCAGAGAGGAGTCGTGACAGCGAGCTCTCTGGGTTTCTTCTTTCGTTTCTTTTTCTCTTTTGTAGTCTCAACTGTGGACATCACTCTGTTGTATAAAACCGCTGAGGAGCAAAATGGCTGGAAACACTATCCTGGTCTCTTGTCAGGCCTTGGATTTCATCCCAGCGCCAGCACAAGCTGAGGGAATTTGGATCTGTCTGTGGGGGCCCAATTGCAAAATGACTACACACATATCTGGGACTTTGGTGTTTCTTCTTTGCCCAGAAGCAGCTTTGGTTTAACCGAAATTGCAGCTTAGTCCTAGAAAGAATAGAAGACATTTTGAAAAATCTGCCTGCTAACTTTTCAGTTTTAAGAATGTAAGTTTCGCAAGCGCTGGAACCTTGTCTGTCTGATTTGCTGCACGTCCCCCCTGACCACAGTGGGCCTGGACGCTGAGGAGCTCAGTAGGAGTTGGAGAAACACGTAGTGACTGTACGCAGGGGACAGCTGGGAAAGCCCTCGTGCATGGAATTCTGAACTGCAGGCTCACCATCCCTGCGTCTGAAAGTCTAGTCCACAATCATTTTCTGAGCTCTTATCGTAGGTCATCAAAACGCTCACAGTAATAACAGTGTTGCTTTCATGGTTTGAACGTGCACATGCCACATGCTGGCTTAGACTTCTTCCATAGCAGATCTCACTGTCTCAGTTGAACCATAGTCCTGCAAGACAGGTAATCTTGACACTCATTCCCTTGCTAGGGAGGAAACTGAAGCTCCGAGAGATTAAATACTTTTCCCCAAGGCCACACAACTGATAACAGATATATATATATATATTTTTGGAGATGGCGTTTCGCTCTTGTCGCCCTGGCTGCAGTGCAATGGTGCGATCTTGGCTTACCACAACCTCCGCCTCTCGGGTTCAAGCGATTCTCCTGCCTCAGCCTCCTGAGTTGCTGAGATTACAGGCTTGCACTACCACACCTGGCTAATTTTGTATTTTTGGTAGAGACAGGGCTTCTCCATGTTGGTCAGACTGGTCTCAAACTCCCGACCTCAGGTGATCCGCCCACCTCGGTCTCCCAAAGTGTTGGGATTACAGGCATGAGCCAGTGTGCGCCTGGCCTGGTAACAGATAGTCTTACTGAGAAAGTGGATTCTCTCAGACAGGCTGTGCTGGCCTCTCTGCCTTCTCTCTCTTCCCTCCACATCCTCACTCTGCCTTTTGTTAAAATGGAAGCATCCTTCAGCAGGAGAAGGAACACTTTGGAAACGCCTTCCTTTGCTCATCTCCTCCTCCACCCGGTTCCCCACTCCCAGTCTCTCCCAGTCTCTCTGCTTCCCTTAGGGAGTCACAGCTGTCTCTGTCTGTCTGTCTGTCTGTCTGTCTCTCTGTCTCTCTGGGCTCATCTCCCTCCATGGAGCCGTCTTCTCCCTCTCCTTGGAGACTGTGCGCTCCTGGTTTTCTGCCTGCTTTTCCATGCCTTCCAGCTCAGCATCTTTTACCAGCTTCTCTCCTTTAACTCTACTCCTTAACGCCGACGGGCTCCGGGTCCTTCTTCCTGATCTCTGTTCTTCTCTGTCTTGCTATCTTCCCTGGTAAACTCATCCAGTCCAAGGCTGTGAGCATCATCTTTTTGCCAGTGGCTCCCAGTTTTCTAGCCCTGACTAGAAGTTTGCTATTGACTTCAAACTGGCTTCTTTCCACCCAGCCTATTTCTCTGTCCAGTCTTCCTCTGAGTAAATAGTACCACCCGGTTGCTAAGAATCCAGGAGTCACCTTGGAGTCAGCTCTTTCCTTCAAGCCCCATGTCCGATCCAGCTGGGCCTGGCGATTCTCCCTCGGGTACCTCCTGACTCCCTTTCCTTCCTTCCATCTTCACTGTGGTCACTCCAGCCCCTGCTGCCGCCTGCACAGCTACAGCAACGGCCTCTCACGGATTTCCCTATGCTTTTTTGTTGTTGTTCCTGTATAATTATTTCTTCTCACAGCAACTAGAGTGCTTTCTACAGCCTTTTAACAATTGAGTGCTGGTTATGCTTTAGGCCCCGTCTTGGCGCATTTAACCTTCAGAAGGTAGGCACTGTTGCACCTACACTTCTCAGATGAGGAAGCTGAAGCACAGAGCAGTTAATTGATTTGTCCAAGGTTAAAGCCAGGATGAATCCCAGGCGGCAGGTCCTAGTCAGTGCTCTTGAATCCGGTCCCTCCTTTCCTTGAAATGCTCCCAGGGCCTGTCTTCTCCTGGGCCTGAAGGCTCCTACTGGCCTCCTGCCTCATCTCCTACCACGTTCTCTCTCTCTCCTCCTGCCAGTTTGCACTCTGGGTTATTCCCAAACTCTTCACATCCACCACAGGGCTTTTTCACCAGCTGTTCCTGCTGCCCAGAGCCCTTCCCCACCGCTTGTTCACAGGCTGGACCCTTCAACGTCATTGCATAAGGCTCCCCGGTCTCTTGATCCAAAGTAACCACCCACCATCTTGTATTCTTGGTGGCACTTACTGCTGCCTCATGTTGCCGTCGTTCTTTTGGTGACCCTTATTTTTCATGGTGATAAATAAATTACATGGAATGAAACTCCACACCAGCAGGAAACGTAGATGCATGTTCCACACCCTGTGTCGGTGCCAGCGTTGATAGACTTTGGGTGAATGAATGCGTGGGTAACTGAACAAATGCATACCTGACATCCTGGAACTCAGAGCCGGGTGCTTTGAGTCCATCAATTTCCCTACCGTGCCCTGTGGCTCTGTCTGTACAACTCACAGTTCAAGCTTTTAGGTGTCTCTGCCCTCGGTCATACTCACAAAGTGTCTCTGCTTTTTATAGGTGATCAAAGAAGCCTATAGTGGTTGTAGTGGCCCCGCGGATTCAGAGTGTCCTCCTCCACCGAGCTCCCCGGTGCACAAGGCGGAACTGGAGAAGGTAAGGGCGTTGCTCTTGCTGGGTGGGGACTGTGACCTCGCAGTGGTTTGGGGTCTCCTTCAGAGTTTGATAACATTCTCTGAGAATTTCAGCACTTCCACTTAAAAAAAAAAGAAAGAAAGAAAAAATGCAATTGTGCTTCCCATCTTCTTAACTGCCTGCTTTGTGTAAGCTTGAATTAGTCATTTTACAGACTGTGTAGTTAGTATTGTTATTCGCAGCTACAGATGAAAAAACGGATTTAAAGGCGTGAGGGCCTTGTTCAAAGTCACATAGCTAGTAAATGGCAGAGCTGAAGTCTGAAGGCATGCCTGTCTACTTCTGGAATACAGCAGGTGCTTCATAAATGTACCCTCACAAAGGTCTCTTCCCAGCAGACCAGGATGTGTCTCCATCTCCCTTTGCTTTGCACTCTTGTTGCTTGTTGGAAGGCAGAGGAGCACCGCAGTGGGCGGGGATGGCCTGTCATCTGTACACCTCTTTTTGCCAGAAATGTATGGAGCCCATCACCGTTACGCCACAGGCCCTGCTCTGCTTGCACTTTGTTTGTCTGAATCTAACGGATATTGTTTCCTTGGAGAACCCTGACTTCCTGCCATGAGACCTTCTGCTGGTAGCTTGTGTTCCCGGGGCTTTCTGAGCCCTCCCTCTAGCCTCCTGCCAGTGAAGAGACAGATCCCTTCTTGCCTGTCCTCATATGAGTCAGGATTCTCCAGAGGAACAGAATTAATGGGATGTATGTACGTAGAAGCATATTTCTTAGAAGGCATTGGTTCACGTAATGATGGAGGCTGCAAGTCTGAAACCTGCAGTGTGGCCCACAGGTGGAGACCCAGGAGAGCCGATGGTGCAGGTGAAGTGTGAAGGCGTCCGCAGGAATTTAGGGAGATTTCACTGGCTCAGGGAGGACAGTGTTTTTGTTCCATCGAGGGCCCCAACTGATTGGATGAGGCCCACCCACATTACAGAGGACAGGCTGCTTCCTCAGAGCTCCCTAATTTAAACGTTAATCTAATCCCCAAATGCCTCCCACATTGACACATAAAATTAAACATCACAGTCCTCATCCTCACACCGTAATGGAACAGGCTGTTTTTTTCCCTGACTATAAAACCAGTATCTGCTCACTTTAGAAAATTCAGAAAGCTCATAGAAACATAAACGGGATGAAAAAAGTCACTCATTACAACTGCACATAGAGAATGCAGCTCCTCTTAACACTACTGATATATTAAACACTGTTTCCTGAGTTCAAGGGTTTCTCTTACGGCTTGGATAAGCTTATGCATAAAATTTCTTATACTGCTTTTTTTTCACTGAACCTTTATATTATTAGCAAATTTCCAGGTTTTTAACAACTCTTAAGCCACAAGCGTTTTTACATTTTCTCATTATCATTAGCTTTAATGTCAAATTTGTACGACTCCACTATCACTTAGGTAACTGCCCCCCAGTACTTGTTTTGTCCTTTTTTTTTTTTTTATTTTGTGAAATGGAGTTTTGCTCTTGTTGTCCAGGCTGGAGTGCAATGGTGCGATCCTGGATCGCTGCAGCCTCCACCTCCTGGGTTCAAGCGATTCTCCTCTCTCAGCCTCCTGAGTAGCTGGGATTACAGGCACACACCACCAAGCCCAGCTAATTTTTATATTTTTAGTAGAGATGGGGTTTCACCGTGTTTGTCAGGCTGGTCTCGAGTTCCTGACCTCATGATCCACCCACCTCGGCCTCCCAAAGTGCTGGGATTACAGGCGTGAGCCACCGCACCTGTCCCGTGTTGCCCTTTTTTAGGCCATCTAAAATAAAATAGTACTTGACGTATTTTGCATAATTTTTGCTGATTCTCTGCCTGTTACCTGAGAATAGATTTCTGGAAGCTGATTACTAGACCAAAGGATAGACCTCTTTTTCTTTTTTAAGATTTTGATTCATATTGAAAATCAAATTGCTTTCCCAAAAGGTTGATGCGATTTCATTTCCCATCAGACTGCATCCAAGTTCCTCATCCACGCACTCACACCAGAATTGGCAATTCCGCTTTACTTATGTTGGTTTTTAAGGCAGTACCGTGAGCACTCGGCGGGACCTGTTGCCCTGGATTCCCCGGGCTGTTCCTGGTGTGAGAGCCAAGGCGGTACCAGCTCTAGGTCATTGTATCCCTGGAACTCAGCTTCCCACTAAGTGGCACTCATTCCTTCACTGCAGCTCTTAGGGGATTGCCCCTCGAATTCCAGGTTGAACACATGTGTTCCTTTGTGCCTGGGAACTGCCCACACATCTCAAATGTGTCCCAGTCTCCCAGGCCCTGGTGGAAGACACAGGATATGAGGACAGTGTTTGGACGCCACTCCCTCCACTGTGACCCCACAGGTTCTTGGGTGGCAGTGGAAGGGGTCTAGCTGTAAACACTCTACCTCATTCAGATACTAACGTGGAATCCTAATCACGCTCATTAAAGCCAGAGGTTAGGACTGAGATAGTGACAGTACCCCATCCCCTTCCAAGGGTTTTGATAGTAACCTTGCTTTCACTCTGTGTACATTCTGAGTGTATTTGTTACAAGCACGTACTAGACACTCACCCAATTAATTATTGGTGAATGACAGGAAGAAATTAAATGGACTATGGAGTATTTCCTTCTGCAAGGATAATATGGCTTGGTGAGGGAAATATTTTTGGAATCATAATATTTTTTCAAAATCATTTACAAGAAGTGATTTGAATGAAATAGGCATGAGACAGTATATATATAGGTTAGTATAATTATAGCCTCAGTGAGGTTCCCCCCGACCCTCCCTCCCCACTCTGGATGTTTTTAAAGCGGCTGTAGCCACCTAACCAGCCAGTCTTTGTTATAGTTAAGCTCTAACTACTTCTGGATTGCTATGAATTCGGCCCATGTTTTCTTTCACTTTCGAGATAACTTTTGGTTGATCCATCACACATCCACTGTAAGAATAACTTAATCCTTTTTCTCCTTACAGAAACTGTCTTCAGAGAGACCCAGCTCGGATGGGGAGGGCGTGGTGGAGAATGGAATTAGCACATGCAATGGAAAGGAGCAAGGTGAGTTCCGCTTGTGCCAAAGATATATACACTTAAAAAAACCCCACAGCCTGGTTTGTAAAGTCTGATTGTACGAAAAATGTGCTGGGTGATTCAGATGTGTAGATATCATCACCATTGCTCAGGATACCGATGGGAGTGCCTGGAAAACCCTTTGGTTAACATCAACCCTGCAGGTCTTCCTTTTCCATCCTGCCAGACCTTGGCCGAGGTTGCCATCTGTTGTCTTTTTCTGCCCTGCATATGTTTCGAACTTATGACGCCCAGCTGGTTATTTCTTCACTCGATCTAGCACTGAGACAAATTTGCATTGGTGAACCGCTGGTGTGTTGCTTAGGGACCTGGTGTCCAATGAAAAGAACTTTGGATAAGGAGGCAAGAAACCCACTTTCTCATTCAAGCTCTGCCTTTGCTTAGCCCCATGATCTTGAGCAAGTATTCCCTCTTGATGAGCCTCAGTTTCCCCATCTTTAAAATGAGGAGGCCAGACCTGCAGATTTCTGAGATTCTTAAAAAAGATTTTCTGAAAATGTCTTTATTTTGCCTTCATTTGAAACATTTTTAAAAAGTACATAATATAAAAATATACATAATATAAAATACACCATATTAACCGTGTCACAGCGTACAGTTCAGTGCGTTAAGTACATTTACGTTGTACTGTCATCACTGCTGTCAGTCTCCAGAACTCTTTTCATCTTGCGAGAGTGAAGCTCTGTCCCCTTTAAACACTGACTCCCCATTCCCTCCTCCCCAACCCCTGGCACCCCCATTCTGCTTCCCGTCTCATGAATCTGACTTCTCTAGGGACCTCATCCAAGTGGAGTCCTGCAGGCCATGTCCTTCTGTAAGTGCTTATTCCACTTAGTTCCATGTGCTCAAGGTTCATCTGTAATGTGGCCTGTGTCAGAATTTCTTTCCTTTTTAAGACTGCATAATATTCCATTGGATGGATGGACCACATTTTGTTTTCCCATTTATCTGTCGATGAACACGTGGGCGGCTTCCACCTTTTGGCTGGTGTGAATAATGCTACCATGAACGTGGATGTGCAAATAACGAAGCCTCGATCTTTCTAGAGATAGAAATTAAATGCTGTAAAATTCACCCTGTTTGGCATACTGTTGGTGAGTTTTGATGAATGCTGGCAGGCACGTAACCATCACCACAATCAAGATCTGCAGCTATTAGAGCATGGCTCTAACCCCCCAGCCCCCACCATGTTCCCTCTGCTCTTTCTCTCCTGTCTGCCTCTGCCTCTGCCTCTGCCCCAGGCCCTGGCAGCTGCTGCTCCGTTTCCTGTCCTTTACCAGAATGTCGTAACGTGGAAGCATCTCGTTTGCAGACTTCTGAGTGTGGTTTCTTTCACTCAGCTGCGTTGGAGAGTCGTCCGTGTTTGTGGCTGGTGTCCGTCGTTGGTTCTTTGCTGCTGCTGGCGGCATTGTGTTGTGTGGATGGACCACAGTCAGCCCATTCACCGCTTGAAGAACATTTGAGCTGTTTCCACTTTGGGGCGATTGTTTAAAAAAATCTGTTCTGTGCATTCAGAGACATATGGACATATGTTTGCGTGGACATATGTTTTCATTTCCCTCGGGTAAATACCTAGGAGTGGCTTGTTTGGTCATAGCCTTCTCTCCAGCCTCGGTATTGTCACGTTTGTTTTGTTCTTTCTATTTGAGCCATTTTAATAGGGGTGTAGTGTATGCAGTTGTGTTTTAATTTGCATTTCCCTAATAACTAACAGTGTTGAACGTTTTTTAATATGCTTATGTGCCATCAGGGTATCTTCTTTGGTGAAATGTCTTGTTGGATCTTTTGCTCATATTTTTATTGGATTATTCGTGCTTATTGAGTTTTGAGAGTTCATTGTATTTTCTGAATACAAGTCCTTTATCAGATGTGTTTTGTACATATATTCCCCCAATCTGTGGCTGGACTTTAATTTCCGTAGCAGTGTGTGGACTGAGGTGAAGGGCAGGACTTGTGGTGGGGACGGAGAGCTCCCTCTGCAAAGCCAGACCGCCTGTGTGCTCATTGAACCTGTGACCTTGGCTGCTCAGCTGACTAATCCGACCCCCCGAGCCCATCTGCCCACTCCTGGAGGGAGCCAAGTCTTTCCTGTCTGTGGTGAAGTCACCTTAAACCAAGTAGCAATCCAGCCCACTGAGAGTCTCGGGGCTCAGAGAATCGGGACGGTTATGACATTACAAAGTTCACTCTCAGAGGTCATGATACCCACTTTTTCCATATGTGGTTTTTTGAGTCTGTCCTATCTGAGTGTAATTTTGGTTCTGTCCATCGGAAGTTATTCAGTGGAAAGTATTATCAGTGTCTTCCACAGGGCACACATTATGTGTAATCAAAACCAGGAATGCTATCTTTAAGTTTTGCCCTGAAATAAAATAACATACAATCTCAATGTTCCTGCTTAGAAGCTGAGGGGCAGCAGACGTTGGTTTGCTTGGTTCCTTTTCTGGTTTGCTATTTCTTCTCCCAATGCGCCTATTAGGTTCTACAGAATAATATGTGTGTCTGGATGCACTTTTGAGCGAGTATATCTATATTTAAAATTCTCCTGTTTCCTCTTAACAAGAACAACCTTCTATACTTTGGAATTAAATGGTGGTGACCTTGGTTTACACATTTTCTTTTTGTCTGGCATGGTGCTTTGCAGATACAGACACTCAGTAGTTACTGGAGAAAGTTAAGGCTGAAGTACATTCTAACCTTCTCTCTTAGCTTTTGTCCTTGCCTCTCACTCTTAACCAATTTGCAACTGAGAGATTTCAGTTAAGCTCCTTTATCCCAGCTATGTGGTAACTCAGGCACATTTCTCTGCGGGCTGCATGGAGAAAATCCTGAACTCATACAGGTTTTTCTTAGTGTTAGAATCTCAGATGAAGAAAGAGACAGTCCAGGCTCCATGCGGTCAAAGCCACAGGGAGTGACTCTGGAATGCCTTTTTCTTCCCTCAGGGCGGAATCCCTCCTGTCTAATAAACCGACACAGTACGGTTGGTCCTGCAGCAGGTGTGAGGAGTGCGGGCTCAGGAGGTCCTGGGACCTTCTGTCTGGGAGCTGTGAGGCTTCTCAGCCCCACTTCACATCTGTAAGACGTGATCATTTGTGAATGTGTCTGTTGATAGAAGTCACTGAATACAAAGTCTGATGGTATTAATTCTCATGCCCCTATTCCTCCCGGTAGCCTAAATAATAATAATAAAAAGCGCCTGAATTCCTATTTCCATAGGTTACTGGGAGACTCTCTGGGTTTATGATAGCTGTGGTTGTAGAGAGTGCCCCGCGTTAGCCTTGCTCCAGTGGCCTGTGCCAGTGTGCCCACCTCACCGGCCAGTGTGTGCCGGACATTCCAGCTCTTCTACTCTCTGGCGGCAGAGGGTGAGCGTTCGGCGTGCTGAGGTTTTCTTCCCGGTTCTGTGATCTCTGCTCATCTCTGCCTTTTGTTTGATTCGCAGCAACAAGTTGTTCTTGACGGTTTTCTCCTCACGTTCCCATGTACTTGGGCTTTTTCTCCCCAGGATTACCGTACATCTGTCTTAGTAAAAAACGAATCAGGGAGTATTCAAGGAATTCCCAGTTTTAATTATAATCTCATTTCTTTGTAGTCAGAGTCGAACAAGCACTTTGTCGGTCGAGTTGGGCGTTCGTCTGACACCCCAGCTCGCCACGGTGGGCCGCATTGTGGGGGGGCTGCATTGTGGGGGGGTGGTGCATTGTCGGGGGGGCCGCATTGTGGGGGAGGTGGCGCATTGTCGGGGGGCTACATTGTCTGTGGGGGCCGCATTGTCTGGGGGGCGCATTGTGAGGGGCCTGCATTGTCTGGGGGGGATGCCTCTTGTTCCTCCAGCCTTGCTCAGGGTGCCCCGGGCACTCGGGCTGTCCTGGCAGCAGGTTATTCTTTGTGAAGCTCACGGGAATGGGGCTGTGGTGAAACATTGTCTTCTGGGTCTTCAGAAACAGCTGGGAGGGGCCGACCACTGTTGCTGTGGCTCTTGGTTTGGTTGAAGTGACACTGAAGTGATAACAGCTGTCCCAGCCGCACGCTCCCTGTCTGATGGTAGCTGGGAAGTGCTGCGTCCTCAGACTCAGGGATCGAAAGCGAGTCTCAACGCTTTATTTTAAAACAGGGTGTGTACATGTTGGGAGAGTGGAAGGAGGGGTGGGCGTGGCATTCCTGGGTTCTTTGTTTCTAATACTCATGAGGCCTAAGTCTGATTTGTTTAAAATAACACAGAAATGCTGGGACTGTGTTGTTAGTCAGTTTGTGCTGCCATCACAGAATACCACAGACTGGGTGGCTGAAACAACATGCATTCAGATGGTCCTGGAGGCTGCACGTCCAAGACCCAGGTGTCGCCAGGGTTGGTGCCTGGTGAGGGCTGTCTTCTCAAAGTCGGCTCCCCTCCGACGGCCTTCACACAGCCTTTCTTCTGTGCCCGTGCAGTCTCTTCTTAGAGGGACACTAACGCTATAGGACCAGGACCTAAGCGGGAGGGTGGAGCATGGGAGGGCAAGGCCCGGGGCAGGAGACACAGGGGTATGTTCTGCCACCCTCATGTGTTTGGCTGTGGTGGGGGCAGCAGGGTGGAGGTGGAAGGAGGACCACTGCCCGTTCCCCCGCAGAGAGAGGCGGAGGTTGGGAAGGATGAGGGGACTGCCTGTGTGAGTGTGTGTGTTTTTAGAGGAAGGGTTTAGGAGTTAGGCCAAGGTGTGTCGTCTTGTGTCCCTGGCCGCTCTTCCTCTGCCTTTCTCCCGCGGGATGTGTGTGGGTTCATTTGTCCCTGGGGTAGGAGGGTGGGAAGGAGTCCTTGACTCATCACCTTCTGAAAGGGTTTGTGATCTCCAGAGGGTTGCAGACAGCAGGTTGAGGGACTCATGTTGGAGATGAAGGGGAAAGGGTCTGGGCGCTGGGGTTTTGCCCGTGACACTGAGGGTCTCTCTGTCCCCTCAGCTCCAGTGAGCCCCGCAGTGCAGCTGCGTCCCAGGTGTCTCACTGGCCTCCCCTCAGCTCCAGTGCCGTGCACATAATGGCCCTCAGATGAGACGGGCAGACAGCTCACCTTCTCCGAGGGTCGCTGTCTGGCCAAAGAGTCTTGTCACTCGGTTCTGGTGCTGTCTCACATGCACGTTCTGATTTCTTGTCTGATCCCTGCCCCTGTAATTCTGTCAGAGGTCACGGACAGAGCCCTTGGCAGTGGAGAGAGGTGCCAGTGATGGGATGGGGCAGACAAAGGATGCCAGCTGGCAGCTGACCCTGGACCTCCGTGGTGGGAGACGGTGGGGAGTGATGAGAACTGCCCCGTGTTGTCCCTTGCTGGCCCATCTGCGTGGAGACTGCTTCTGTGGTCCTGCCGCTGTTGCTTGCCCACATGCAAGTCCAGAGTTGCTAGATCTTTCCATCTTTCAAAGGAAGCCAGGCATCAATTTTATGCAGAATGTGTATGAGTTTTATGTATCAGCAATTAACTCCAATTTAACACTGTCCTGGCTAAACCGAACATGAGGGGCTAGAAGGCAGGCCCCTGGTCTGAGAGCTCTGGACGGTGCTGAGCCGAGTGAGTGTCTCACAGATGGACGAGGGGCTCCTGAAAAAGAGCCAATCCCCTTCCCTTCCTGGGCCTCCCCTTGCCAGCCGGGCCGGAGCTGCTCTAACTGCCTTCTGTTCCTCAGACACTTGGGGCTGGCTTTTGCGTCAATGATGTTTTTCTTTCCTGGACGGTTCTTCTCTCTGAGATGTGCATGGCTAGTTATTAATTTAAGTCAACCCCTGGACAGGCTTTCTCTGCCTGCCCAGCTGCTTTTCCACATAACCCTATCTTAGATCTCCATGTGGTCTTTGTTACAAGCTTCTTACCAGCAGCCCTGTGTTCTGCTGGAATCTCAGCATCTAGACCGACAGCCAGCACACGGCAAGTGCTCGTTCAGTACAAGTAGAGGGAAAGGCTAAGCGCAGTGGCTCACACCTATAATCCCAGCACTTGGGGAGGCCACGGTGGGTGGATCACTTGAGCCCGGGAGTTTGAGACCAGCCTGGGCAACATGGTGAAACCCCATTTCTACAAAAAGTACAAAAATTAACCAGGCGTAGTGGCACTCACCTGTGGTCCCAGCTACTCCGGAGGCCAAGATGGGAGGATCAGCTGTGCCCAGGAGCTCAAGACTGCAATGAACTGTGATCACAACACAGCACTCCAGCCAAGGGACAGAGTGAGACCCTGTCTTTAAAACAAGAAAAAAATGCCCAGGGAAAGAAGAAATGGGTTGTGATTTATGTTTTATTTTTTCAATTAATATCTACAATTAAAACATGCTTTTTTGCTGTTGTTATTCTCGACAGTGAAGAGGAAGAAAAGTTCCAAATCCGAGGCCAAGGGCACTGTGTCGAAAGTCACTGGGAAAAAAATCACCAAGATCATCAGTCTGGGAAAGAAGAAGCCATCCACAGACGAGCAGACCTCCTCGGCTGAGGAAGACGTTCCCACGTGCGGTAAGACTGTGCTTCCCGGAGACGAGCAGTGTGCACCCAAGTGGGTTTCCTTTCCTCCTGCAGTGTCGGTACCCAGTTCCTCCAAGGCTCATTAATTGGAGCTCTTTTGCATTGGACTTGAAATCATTCAAATTTCAATGTATTCAATGTATTAAATGTTTGCATTTTTACCTCTTATTCATACAAGACTTTGTAGGCATTTGAGATGATCTCTAAGGTTCTTTCAAGAAAAACAAATATTTCCCTTTGATCCTCTGAAGGTCCCCCAAATCCCCTGGAAGTGTTTTTAAAGGACAACATACGCAGGGGCTGCTGGTAAACAAAGGATTATGGGAAAACCTTTACAGAACTAAGGCCAGTCCTTTCCCTTGGGCAAAGTGATAAAACTAAGCTTCCTTATGACGTCACCGTGTTAGTCACTTTCCTGTTGCTGCCAAAGGAATGCCTGAGGCTGGGTAATTTATAAAGAGAGAGGTTTATCCGGCTCATGGTTCTGCAGGCTGTACAAGTATGGTGCCAGTGTCTGCACAGCTTGCAATGAGGCCTCAGGAAGCTTTTACTCATGGCAGGGGCAGAGGCGACACTGGTGTGTCACATGGCAGGAGAGAGAGGAGCAGGTGCCAGAGTCCTTTAAACCATCAGATCTCACAGGAACTACTGGTTTGAGAACTCCCTCATTACTACAGGGAAGGCAGCAAGCCATTCATGCAGGATCCGCTGCCGTGGCCCAAGCACCTCCCACCAGGCCGGCCCCCCACACAGGGATCACATTTCAACATGAGATTTGGAGGGGAGAAATATCCGAACTATACCAATTACATTTCTCAAACTGAAGTTTCAAATCCAGTCTAACACACTGACCATCTCCCCGGTCAGTCTTTCATCCAATAAGTAAGATTTGAGCAGCTGCCTTTTGGTGACCACAACAGCCCTGGCCCCCCATGGCTTCCAGTCTGATAGCAAAAGATAAGTACAAGACCAGTTATCACAGAAACATGTGTGTAATAACTGGCTGTGGTCGGCGATAGGAGGGAAAGCCCAAGAGGCCATGAGAGGATCATAGGAACCTCAGCAGGCCGGGGGGAGCCAGCATTGTGGGGTGGTCTCCATGAAGACATGGGTGAGAGTTTCCATCCAGAATGCTTTCTAGACTATCAGGTTCAGAGGAACCGTGCAGCTCTTCCTAGGAGGTAAACTTGATGAGCTACGTTTTTGAAGAATTAGGAATGTGCTGTCATTTTGCTTGTGTACTGTTGCGGCTCACTCAGCTCCCCGCAGTGTAAGCCCATCATTCCTTCTATTTGAATAGTCATTCTAGTCACCCCCACCCCTTATCGAGCACCCGTTATGTCCAACGTGTCGGGTTTTATTTTGAGATGCCAAAAGATGCCTCGTTCAGTTCCTGCCCCACAGCGCCTAGATGGGGCTATATACACAAAGATAAATGCATTCAACAGATCTCACGTCCCAGCGGTGTGAGCTCATGCTACGAGGATAGTACAGAGGGTGGGCCATGGTGATCAGGAGGAGGGATGGATTGCAGGGGCAGATGAGAGGCGCTGCGGCGTGCACTGTCTTGAGGGAAAGATGGGCAAAGTCTGCACTCCTCGGCAGCTTTCACAGTGTGATCCAGGAAGTTCATGATACCAATTTCTGGGGGATACAACGAAGTTGTCTGGGCAGACAGAAGTGAAGGCCTCATGTGCTTGAAGGAGTCTTGCGGAGGGGTCCTGTTGAAACAGCTGTCTATGGGGTTGGGTTAGGAGGGAAGGCCATCACCATAAGGGAACCCGTGACCGAGGAGCCTGGTGCATTCCAAGCTCCCTGAACTTGGTCAAATTTGAGTCACAGAAGCAGGCCAGTTGGTACTGATATTTTTCCACTACCCTCCCTTCCCTCCCTAAATAAGGCGAGAGCTGAAAGGGCAGCCACCCTGCTGAAATGCTGTCAGAGGAAACAGCTGCAGCACAGAATGGGGAGAGGGAATGTGTTGGTGCCCCAGTGCTGGGCCCCGTTGACCTCTGCCTTTCTTGGAGCGCCTGGAAGGTGGGACTGCCTCACATCAGCCCTTGAGAGTCAGCGATTAAAAACAGAAAGTGGGAATTAGGGATTAAATACAGGAGTTAGGAATTAAAAATAGAAGGCGGGAAATAGGGATTAAATATAGGAGTTAGGGATTAAAAACAAAGTGGGAATTAGGGATTAAATACAGGAGTTAGGGATTAAAAACAGAAAGTGGGAATTAGGGATTAAGTACAGGAGTTAGGGATTAAAAATAGAAAGCGAGCATTAGCCAACAAGAAGGGAACTGTTCTTTTTTTTTTTTTTTTAAATGCTCTAGGTCAGTGGAGGAAATAGAAATTCTTCCTTGAAAAACAATTAAACATTAACATGAAAGGCAATTGCAAGACTTTGGCCCAAACCCCTCCATTTACAAAGGAGAGCACTGAAGCTCAGAGAGCTCATGTGGCTTGCTCGGAGCCACACAGCGCGCTGGGAGCAGAGACAGCCTCTGACCCAACTCTGCTGGTTCCCCGTCCCACAGGCCCTCCCCTATCCCTTCCCCCAAAGATCTGAACCCTCCCTTGGCTCCTGATAAATAGCTGCGATTGTGCTCGGGATTCGTGATTCGACGCTGCGGTAAACCCTCCTCTTGGGCACTTTCTTGGAAGCCCAGTTGGCCACTCAGGGAGCAGCAGGAATACTGGATCCACAGCATCTCATTAGACACATGGATTCCCATCAAACTGCTTAGTGGACGACTTCTGCTTCAATAGTAACAGAACATCCTCTGTCCACAAGAGTTTAAAGCTGTCATCCAGTTCTTTGCAGGGGAAAGGGGAGAGGGGAGGAGCTCTTACAAAAATAAAGGGGCAACAGTGACCATTTTCAGTTATTTTGGTACAGCTGCAAAGTTTCAAGCAGAAAAAAGGAGCTGGAGGAAGGCCCGAGAGACCGAGCCTGCCAAGCTGAGCCTCTGCAGCTGCTGCTCTCTGCTCCAGGGAGATGAAGGGCTGAGCGGGACTGGCCGGAAGTGCAGTGCTGCTGAGCCCACAGGACAGAGCTCCCGGGAGCCACTGAAAGCAGAGTTCAAATCCCAGCCCCTCCACACAGTGCAGCTGGGTCAGCCGTGCCCCAAAATGCAGGACAGAGCTGCTGTGAGGGCCTTGCTTGTGGAGGCAGGGGAGGGAAGGCCCTCTGCAGGTGCTTGCCGGCCGGAAAGGTTTTGGGGGGGTTTTGGGCCAAAGTCTCTCAATTGCCTTTCATATTAATATGACAAGGATTGCAGCCTGGCTGGCTGGGTCCGCCCGCCTAACCCTGCAATGCCTATTGAGTGGCGTTGAGTGACGCGTTTAGCATTGGGCAGGTCAGCTCAGCACACAGCCACGTAAGTAATGTGATCTGAGACACGCGCAAAGGCCCCTGACCAAAATATATCTTTTTTTTTTTTTGAGATAGAGTCTTGCTCTGTCGCCCAGGCTGGAGTGCAGTGGCGCGATCTCAGCTCACTGCAAGCTCCACCTCCCAGGTTCACGCCATTCTCCTGCCTCAGCCTCCCAAGTAGCTGGGACTACAGGCACCTGCCACCATGCCCAGCTAATTTGTTGTATTTTAGTAGAGACGGGGTTTCACCATGTTAGTCAGGATGGTCTCGATCTCCTGACTCTTGATCCACCTGCTTCGGCCTCCCAAAGAGCTGGGATTACAGGTGTGAGCCACTGCGCCCGGCCCCAAAATTTATCTCTTATTTGTCCTTCTCCTGTGCTTACAAGTCCTGGAATTATTGTCATTTTATGAATTAAGCTGTCGTTACCAGGAAATGCATTTCCATCTTTCTCTCTCTTCCCCATCCCTATTTCCGCCTGTGGCTGGGACTGTGGCATCTTTTGACTGGTTCACCTCGTTCTACTCTGCATCCCCCACCAGGCCACCAGATGGAAGTTTTGAAACGTTAAACTAATCGTATCACATTCTGTGTTGAGAAAAACCAAAAGTGCCTCCGTTGTTGCCAGTTCAGGGCCTCTAACAAAGCCGTCCCCACTTCACTCTTCCACCTTCTACATGACTGGCGTAAGAACAGGGGCTGACTGGCTCACTGCCCGTGTCCACAGCACCGTGCAGAGCTTGGCAGACGATACCAGCTCAGTACCTACTTGTTGAATGCATGCATTCCTTTAAGCAAATTGCTTCACCTCTGGGAATCTCAGGCTCCTCCATCTATGAAATCACTCAATACTTCAATTCCTTGTTTTTCATAAAAACTGAGGATAAAATACATGAAACACTGAGCTCAGTGCCCAGCCCATTGTTTCTGCTCAGTACATGGTCGCTGTGATTATCCTCCATGTGTTCATCTGACATGTTTTTTAAAAACATCACCTGAGCACACCGGACCTACCCAAGGCTGGGTAAATGCGACGTCAGACGAGTGAATCATGAGAAACGGAGAGGCTGAGAGAAAGGAAAGGCCACAGGGTGCAAGTCGGAGGCTTCCTGGAGCCTGGCTACGTAGCCATTCCCAGGGTCCCTTTCACCTGAAATGTTCTGTGACTTTATGAAGCTCTTTCAATGGCAGGTTTTTTTCAGCAGACATTCAGGAAAGTTAGATACATCTCAGTTGGTATCATAATCCACCTCCATGAAAACTAGACGAAGCCAGGCACTGTAGCACGCAGCTGGAATCCCCGCTACTCGGGAGGCTGAGGTGAGAGGATCGCTTGATGCCAGGAGTTTAAGACCAGCCTCAGCAACATAGCAAGGCCCCACCTCCAAAAAAGAAATCAGATGAAGTCTGATAAAAGGGCAGGAAGGCATTCTGAGTCCAAGAGCCACCGTGACAGGCTGTAGGTGTACCAGCTCCTCTGCCCCTGGCCTCGTAGAGGACACACTGCGAAGAGCGGGAAGGCGGCTTTGGCTTCGGCAGGCCCGTGATCAGCTGCCAGCAGTTTCCTGACATTTGGTTTCTCTAAAAGCTGCTTCTTGATGCTCCTCTTGCAGGCCCATCTCCTCCTAGCTGATCAAAAACAAATACTTGCCAAGATACAACGAACAGTTACATTGGGATAAAACGTCTCTCAAAAGTGTTGAACGTTTTGTCCACATGTAACCAAAGCACAGTAGCCTCTGGGGTAGACAGGCACTATCATTTCCCTTCCTAAAGAGAATGAATCAATGGAAGCTTGGCCACACTTCTGAAAGCCTTCTCCTGCCTGCTCCTCTGCAGCTGCCGGAATTTGAGAGCCACCTGGCACTGAGACCCGCGACGCCCCGTATCCGGAACAGCTGACCGGGAGGGTTTATATCTGTTCCCCTCCATCTGTATTTATTGTTTGTTTAATCTTCAGGCTGTAAAGCTAGTTTTATATTTTTAGTGAAATCTCCTCATGCACTCTTGCCATAGTGTTGCAAGAACCTGCGCTCTTTCCTTTGAATTTGGAGCAGAAATCAGCTGAAAACATTAAACTCACAAATTTTTAAAATTCAGTAACACCCTACCATAATATGGTAAGTGGGATCCAAAAATAAAATGGCTTCTATCTGGACCTGCCTTGTTAAGTAGTTAAATCTTAAGACGCCCTGGGTGAGCCTTGAAGCTCCCGCCTGCAGTTCTTGCTGCAGGAGCCAAGCTGGGCCCGTCCTGGCTGCACTCTAGCACCACCTGGTGGTGGATGTCGCTCCAGCGTAAATATTCCTGGAGCTGACGGGGTCCTAGGCAGCACTGATTTCATCAGCCAGGCTAATAATGGGGGGTCCAGAGGACCCCCTGACTCTAGACTCCTTAGATGAGGTTGTCTGCCATTTCCTGTGTGGCCTCTTCATGTTCCCTACCCAGAATGTAGGAACTTTGGGCCTCCCCATTTTGAGAAATGGGGGCAGGGGGCTGGATGGGGTAGGGGCAGTCGCTGAACACAGACAGGTGACGGTGGAGCCACCTGCTGCTGTGAACAGGTCTGTTACCCAGGGGATTTTTTTGGGGGGGGGAAATTTGGGGGCATTATGATAATTTCATATAAAGTCATTTTCTAAATAAAATGTGATCTGTCCAATATAATCATCCCTTTTATGGCTGGAATGTCAAGAAATTCATAGTGTCTGGTGGCTTTGGGCCAGATTCTGTCAGGGAAGGAGACACCATGAGAGTCCATGTCCCTTTTCGGGACCAGGTGCCCTGTGGCTGGGTATCGGGGCCAGGCCCCCTGTGGCTGGAGATTGGGGCCGGGCCCTCTGTGGCTGGGGATCGGGACCGGGTCCCCTGTGGCTGGGGATCGGGGCGGGCGCCCTGTGGCTGGGGATCAGGACCGGGTCCCCTGTGGCTGGGGATTGGGGCCGGGTCCCTGTGGTTGGGGATCGGGGACGGGTCCCTGTGACTGGGGATCAGGACCGGGTCCCCTGTGGCTGGAGATCGGGCCGGGCGCCCTGTGGCTGGGGATCGGGGCCAGGTCCCCTGTGACTGAGGATCGGGACTGGGTCCCCTGTGGCGGGGGATTGGGGCCAGGTCCCTGTGGTTGGGGATCGGGGACGGGTCCCTGTGACTGGGGATCGGGACCGGGTCCCCTGTGGCTGGGGATCGGGGCCGGGTCCCTGTGACTGAGGATCGAGACCGGGTCCCCTGTGGCTGGGGATCGGGCCGGGCGCCTGTGGCTGGGGATCGGGGCCGGGTGCCGTGTGGCTGGGGGTCGGGGTAGGCTAGGGATCGGGGCCGGGCTGGGGTTCGGGGCCAGGCCCCCTGTGGTTGGGAATTGCCACCCCACTGCAGAGTCCATGCCCTCTTGGGGACTGGGTCCTCTGTGGTTGGGAATCGGACTGGGTCCTCTGTGGTTGGGAATCGGACTGAGTCCTTTGTGGTTGGGAATTGCTGCCCCGCTGCACTGTACAGTCTCTGTCATTGAGGTCACTGGCATTTCAATTCTCGGTTTCTTCCACTCCTTCTACGGGCCCCGTGAAGGGGTCCCTGGGCCCTGACCGCTCCAGAGCACGGGCTGTTTTCCTTGCCCTGTAGCTTACTGCTCCTTTTCAGAAACCGTTCTGGGGCATGTTATCTTAATGCACCTCAGTATGTGAAGTGATTTGAGGGGAGTCCTTGCCTCCCTTTTCCTTTTAGATACACCTTTACGTTTGTCAACTCATGCTCAAAACATACTTAGGATTGATACAGTTGGCTGTCATTGTGTGAAAGTCTAAAAATGTAAAAATGTTGGCTTTCAGCATGAGTGGTTACTCTAGATGGTATCAGAGCCATGGTGAGCACGTGGTTCCCAGCGCTGGCACTCGGATGCTCAGATATGATAGTTGACCTCTTTTTAAGTAGAGGTTTCTTTTTTCTTTTTAAAGAATAACTGTATTGGCTGGTAATCCCAGCACTTTGGGAGGCCGAGGCGGGCGGATCACAAAGTCAGGAGATCAAGACCATCCTGGCTAACACGGTGAAACCCCATCTCTACTAAAAATACAAAAAATTAGCCGGGCATGGTGGCGGGCGCCTGTAGTCCCAGCTATTCAGGAGGCGGAGGTAGGAGAAGGGTGCGAACCCGGGAGGCGGAGCTTGCAGTGAGCCGAGATGGCACCACTGCACTCCAGTCTGGGCGACAGAGCGAGACTCCATCTCAAAAAAAAAAAAAAAGAATAAATGTATTGAAACTGTGTCGTTTACAAATAGCATTTTACAGAGCAAAAATAGTGATATAAGGCCTCCGGTTGTATGCATATTAACAGCTCTTTATCTGCTGTCTTTGACTCCCAGCAGGGGTTCAGGTCTGGCTTTGCTGTGTGGTCTTGGACAAGATACTTCACAGTATCTGGGAGTTAACGTCCTCCTTCAAGAAGTAAAACCTCTGAGACCCTTTCCTACTTTGATTCTGAAGCCTCTTCGCCTCCCTGCAGCCCTCCTAAGTGTCTGAAGTACAAGGAGCTTGGATCGAGTGTAGTTTGCTCTCTGAACACAAGAGGGCGGCCACGGCACAGGCCTTGGAGCCTCAGCCTGGCGCCTCCTTTTTCTGTCACTCCCTAAGGACAGCAGCCCACACACCCCAGATGAAAGTTTTAGTTCCAGAAGAAGCAGTGTGCATTTCTCGTCAGTGTGTGTTGGTAGAAATGACGTCACATTCAGCCAATGAAAATTTAGACTTTATAAGTGTGTACCTAGTAAGCCACTGAACCAGTATTTGTAAGTTGTAAAGCATCGTTCTGGGTCCTGAACATACCTCTCTCTTTTTTTTTTTTTTTTTGGTCTTTGTAGCATTTATCTATTGCTAATAAAGTGTGTAAGACTGAGAACATAAAAGCAGTAAGAAACATCCTCCAAAACGCTTTTGGAAAGGCATTTTAATTGATTTTTTTTTCTTTTTTTCTTTTTCTTTTTTTTTTTTTTAGCGACAGGGTCTTACTGTGTTGTCCAGGCTGATCTTGAACTCCTAATCTCAGGTGATCTTCCTACCCTGGCCTCACAAGTAGCTGGGACTACTATTGGCTGGAAAAGGAATCTAAAAAATCAGAATTGGAAAGGATGTATCTTGTTTTGTTTCTTAATGTTTTTGAGGCAGGGGTGTGTGTGTGTGTGTGTGTGTGTGCATGTGTGAACTAAAGAAGTAGCTGAACTTCAGTTGGGAGTCTGGTACTTCCTTTTCTCCCACTATCAACATTTTATATGCTATTTAACTCGCTTTCTAAATCTTAAAGGGGCAGTGATTTACTAGCAATATGGTGTGGTCGGAAGGTACAGCCACCCTGATACCTATTTTTTCATGCCTTGTTATTTCTAGAAGAATCCATTTCATGTTTGTAACAAGTGAAAATGGTCCATTTCCTGTATTTGAGAAGGTTTTTTTTTTTTTTTTTAAATGAGGATAATAATTTTTCCTGTCATTCTGCCACTCCTGTCTCTGTGGTATACTGAAGATGTTGTGCCATAGCAGAGACACAGATCACAAACTTTCATGTACATTCAGACTTTAGAGTTTAGATTTCCTCTGGGCAGCTTCACCAGTCACTTTGCAGTTTCAGGAGCAGAAAGGCGGCAGGTGCGTCCTCAGCCTCGGGTGGGAACCTGCCCCCGGGGCCTCTGCCATTGGTAGGCTGCTTCCAGCACTGGGGATCTTAGTGCCTCCCAGGGCCTCCTATTTCTTGGAAAGTTTTCATTTTTAGATAGTTTTTGTTTCTTCATGTTAAGCCAAAAATCTGCCTGCCTGTGACTCTTACCCTGCTTGTATCATTTGCAGCTCCTCAAAATAAATGAAATCCTTTTCCGGTTTGAAGGCACCTGTTGTGCCCCCATCCTGGCCATCCGAAACCCGATGGCTTGTTCACTTCTCACGTGCTCTAGGTGAATTCCATAGTCCCACATCAACACTAGACGTCTGGTAACTGGTTCTTCGCATGTGTTGAATTAGGGGCTTCCAGATGCGGTCTGTTGGTGCAATGAAAAGCCCCCAAAACTTGAGATGCTATAGCTCTCCTAGTTTATGTGAATTTGCATTTAAAGCTTGATCGATCGTGTGAGGGACTTGTTTTACCCACACTCCCATCCCTGGGCCTCCTCAGTGCGACTCTGGATGTCTTCACCGCGCCTGGTCTTGTCTGAGGCGGCTGACGTGTGGCTTGTCTCCCCGCAGGCTATCTGAACGTGCTCTCCAACAGCCGCTGGCGGGAGCGCTGGTGCCGAGTGAAGGATAACAAGCTCATTTTCCACAAGGACAGGACCGACCTGAAGACCCACATTGTGTCTATTCCCCTCCGTGGCTGCGAGGTGATCCCGGGTTTGGATTCTAAACATCCCCTGACGTTCCGGCTGCTGCGCAATGGCCAGGAGGTTGCAGTATTGGAGGTAGGGTGTTTCCCGGGGGCTGCACTCCACAGGGGGACACACGCGGTGATTCTCCTTCCAAATGCTGAACGCTGACTCCTCTGTCAAAATTCCTCCCATCTTGCTGACTGCAGCTCTTTTCGGCCCACCCCCTTTTCTCTCACTGCCCAGGCTGGGAGTCTCTGCTTTGCTTCTTGCCTCAGTTTTTTTTCTGGGAGATACGACAATGCCAGGACCCCAGCACCACTTTCTCCCCATTTGCACACGTCAGATTGACTTGCCTCCTTGTCTGAGTTCCTCTTTATGCCTGTTTGCAGAGAAATTACATACACAATCCCACAGAGTACATTGCTTCTCTAAAGTACCTGGAAAACAACTTGTTTTAAAATTTCCAAGAAAGCTCTTTCCGTCATATGAGCTCTTTGAAGTGGTGGTAAATGTTTCCTTTGCAATGTTCTTGACCTCTTTACAGATGGAAGACTTTTTGGGGCCATCTGAATGCCTTGTAGATGGCGGCCAGTGGGCCACACGACACAGAAACTGAAAGAGCACCTTTGCTGTTTCAGAGCCCTGGGCTTGGTGCACGCTTTGTTATTTGTTTGGCTGCTTCACTAGAATTTCTTATTCATGAAAGCAGAAAAGACAGTTAAAACTTAGAGCTACATACTCAAAACTTTCATTATTGAAAGTTTTTCGTTTTTCATCATAGAAAACGTTCTGTTGATGTTTTCTGCCCTGTTTTAGACCTTTTTTTCCTGTGATTTTTCCCTTTATTTCTGAGTCTTTTCCCCCACTTAGTGTTATTATGACTAAGATACACACACACACACAGAGATAGATCCATGCATTCACACGTCAGATGGTCGCGGCGTCCATGTCAATGCACCTCATGCTGTAGAATCGATAGAAACCAGTTCACGCGAGGTGTGGTGGGTGGCTGGTGTGTGGCAGAAACTCACCTGGTGTGGAGCCTGCTCTAAATGCCTGCTCAGTGATGCTCATCGGCGGAGGAGAGAGTGCCAGGGGCTGC